GAAGATCACGGATGAGAGGAAGGTCCTGTCTCTACACCGTCTTATCACTGTGGACCCCACGGCTTCTGCTGTAACCTATTTCTCATCATACCTCAGAGGCCTAACTCCTCCCTGCCTTGGAGATTTCTCAGGCAGTGGGTCATGAGAGTGTGAAAAGACTCTGAGGAAGATGTGATGTTGGGACTTTTCACTACCGTATTATGGGAGGAAAAGAAGATCAGATTGCTAAATGTCCCACGTCAGCCACCGTAAATGGCAATGTGTGCACAAGGCCCAGGCCTTTGCTCCTCTTGCTTTCCCCCACCCCCCATCTCTGCCTCATGCCTTGCTCTTTTTTTTTTCATGGATAAAGCAAACACCCGAGGGAACAATTTAAAGGGAGGATGGGTTTAATTTGGTGTCACAGATGTTTGTCCATGGTCAGTGTCATGAATCTGCAGCTCTTGGTCTGACAGCCTCTTCAGCGGGAAGCACTGTTCAGAGAGGCTGTGGAGCCGAGCCCTAGCTGCTGGGAGTGGCTCACCAGGAACCAGGCTTGAAAAGTTAAAGGCCATAGTTTCAGCCCGGGCTTTCTGTTTCTTGGTCCACCGTGATGCGAACAGCTTTTACTCACACTGCTGCTGCCCTGAACTTCCCCACCGGGACAGACTGAAAACAGTGACTGGAAGGGAAGCTTTTATTCTTCAGCTGTTTCTGCGTCATCACAGTAAGGCAAATGTAACACATTCAGCTACACTGCTGCGGCCTGTGGTGAGCTAGAACATGCGGGCAGCAAGGGCCCATGGCAGAGCTAAATTGCTCACATAGCTGGAGCTCTGAAGAGCGAGGCAAGGAAGGGCGGGGGGGACACACAATGTATTTCCTGGGCCATGCATCCGGTGACCCACTTCCTTCCAGGTAGGCCCCACTTCCTGCTTCTTTTCCACTTCCCACTCCATGAGGTCCAAGGCCACAGGAGCCAGTCACTTCCTTGAAGCTCATCAGCTAGGGACCAGACCTGTAATCCAGAAACTTGTGGGAGATGTTTCATAGTCAAACATAATGCTGCCTTCAAAGCTATTTCCTTTGAGGGGCTTGGTTTTCCAAAATTGAACCTGCGTTCAAATGATTCTTTTTTTTTTAAGGATGGTCTTTTCCCGGTACTCATTTAATTTCATGTGTTATAGCAAGAACTAGGTTTCTGCCAGGAAAGTCTAGGACATCAGTCAACCACTGTAGAAGTCAGTAGGTCTGAATGCTGTGGTTGGCAGGTGTTGAGTACTGAGGCCCAGAGAATTAAGCCCTTTCCCCAAGAGCTACCTCTCAGCAAGGCCAGGCACGCAGACTACCAATCCCATACCTCTCACGTTGTAGCAGGCTGAATCCGTTTTCTTCAGGACCCTGACTTCTTAGTAGCCGTGTGTGTGTGTGTGTGTGTGTGTGTGTGTGTGTGTGTGTGTGTGTAACGCAGCAGTTGGTTTGTGTTGGTCACAGCTGTTTCTTGGCTGTGCCTGCCTCTTGCCCTTGAGCCAACAGCAGCCCTGTCTGCTTGTTGGCTGGAGAGCCTGCTTGTATGAGCCAGAGGCTCTCCTCTGTTCATCAGAACGAGGTGGAAGGGCTCCTTCCCACCCTGGGAGAGAGCTTGCCAGGGCAGGCTGGAGTTACTCTCCACATCCAGGGATTGGATCCCTTTTAAAAAGACAGCCTTGTTTCTAGTCTATTTCCATTTTCCAAGTTGGGGAAGAAAATACCTGCTTCTGGAGATTGAAGCAAAATATGTGTGATCTCAGGTGTCTGCCCTCTGGTCACATCTGGTCTACCTTGTGCTTCTGTGAATAAAAGTTTATTGGAAAATGGCCCAGTCACTGTTTTTAGTGTAATCGCTGGGTTAGTTATTTATTTACTTTATTTATTTATTTATTTATTTATTTATTTATTTATTTAGTGTGTGTGTGTGTGTGTGTGTGTGTGTGTTTTACTGGAGATTGACTCTAGGTCCTCAGAAACACTAGGCAAGCACTTTACCACTGAGGTAAACATTCCCAGCCCTCTTTATATTTTGTGACAGAACCAAAGTGGCCCACACAGGCTTTGAACTTCTGGTCCTCCTGCAGCACCACCTCCCAAGTGCTGGGATTTGCAAGTTTTTGCTGCACCCAGCCCGCTTTTCATTACAATGGTAGATCTGAGTGGTCTTCTCAGAATCCACCTGGCCCTGGCACCTAAGATAAGTTTGCTCTGGTCCCTGGGAAGAATACTTCTTCCTGGGCTGTTCGAACCCAGGCATAATGCCTTTCTGTGGGTCACTGGAAGAGATTTACCTTTTTCAAAATGCTTCGTGAGGAACCCAGAGGGAAGCACAAAGGGAGAAGGGAGCAATAGGTGGACTCAGGCAGGTCAGCTCCCCACCCCCACCCCAACTCTGCTCTCAGCCCTCCCTGTCTGCAGCTACTCTGTCTCAGCTCCATGAGGTCAGTCCTGCCAGCTGCCAAGCTTGGTGAGAGCCTCTGGTCTCAGCCCCAGCTCTGTTTGTCTCTAATCCAACAGACCCAGTCTGAGGGCGATGGTGGGAAGTATCTCAGACTAGATGCAGGGGTTGCTTGGTGTATGTAGCACAGTGTACCATTCAGTCACCATCCCTGCATCCCGGGTCCAGCATCCCAGGTCCATGACTCCCCTGGTGTTCTCGGAGCTGTGCGAAGCTGAGAGCCAGGCTCATGCTAGCTACAGCATGGAGAGTTGCCGGCACCGTGGTTAACCTTTAGTAAGCACTGTTGCCTGCTGGTTTCATTTAGGCATCTCAGTAGCCAAGAAGGTGAGCATATCGCTTTATCCTGAAGTTTGCAAGTTCAGGACTAGGCTTTGAGGGGCTGGAGTGTCGGCCCAGTGCTTAAGAGCACTGACTGGCTGCTCTTCCACAGGGTTTGTCTCCCAGCATCCTCTTGGTGGCTCACAGCCATCTGTAACTCCAGTTTCAGGAGATCTGATATCTCTTCTGGCCTCCACAGGCACCACGCATGCAAATGATGCACAAATATATGTACAAGCAAATCACTTCTATACATAGGATAAAATAAAAATAAAGTTATGGAAAAGAAATTTTATTTTCGAAAGAAATAATAGGTTCCAAAAGATTAAGTAACTTACCTAATGGGTGGAGCCTGGGAAGGGGTGGAGCCTCAAAGGGGTGGGGCTTGGGTAAACAGAGGGATAAGAGTACTTGTTGTAGGTTTGTCTTGAACAGTAACTGAATAGCCCTTATGTGACATATGCAGTACAATGCTTGGTAGACCACAGATGCTGGAACAGTGTTGGCTGCTATTATCTGTGAAGAGGTCTGCAGGCTCCCCTCAACCCCAGGGCCAGTGCCAGGCAGCCCTGCTAGGGTTTGCTCTGCACATATGCAGCCCAACATTAGCCTTGTGACTGTCTCATGCAGCCAGTGCCTTGCACCTTGTGACTGCCTCCAGCAGCTCTGCTTCAGGGATGGCTCCATCCTGTCTCCTTCCCGTCTGAGAAATGTCTCTCTAACAGTCTGAGGCCCAGAGATATATGCCAACCTTCCGAGTCTACCATGGGACTAAATGGTCCATTACAGGCAAATAGTGACCTCTGGTGTTCATGATGACCTTTGAGCCCGTGATGGCACTTGCTGTGCAAGCCTGCAACTGGAGTTCGATCCCTGGGACACACGTAAAGTGGGGAGAGAGGGGCAATGGCTGGAAACCCAACACCTACAAGCACGCACACTAAAAACATTAGAAATGTCCATAGCAGTGATCAGGTGAGCTCTGTACCCCATCACAGATCACAGTGCTGATGGCGCCCTACCCCAGCCGAGCCCATACCGATGTGTTCCTCTACAGCACTTCAATTTTTTCCTCACTCTTGGTGGGAGACAACATAACCACGTTTCCCGGGTGGGTGAGGAAGCTTAGGCACAGATAGAATGCCCTGGTGTGAGTCTGGGATACAGTTCTTATCTCCTGGCCACTAGCTCCTGGGTCCAGTGTGAAGGACGCTGTATGACCATGGTTCTCAACCTGTGGGTCAAGACCCCTCTGCTATATTTTTTTTAATTTATTTATTTTATGTATATGAGTACACTGTAGCTGTCTTCAGACACACCAGAAGAGGGCATCAGATCCCATTACAGATGGTTGTGAGCCACCATGTGGCTTATGGGAATTGAACTCAGGACCTCTGGAAGAGCAGTCAGTGCTCTTAACTGCTGAGCCATCTCTCCAGCCCCACTCTCCCTCTGCTATTTTGAATGGCACTTCCCAGGGGTCTCCTAAGACTATCCGAATAAATACTCAGGCATTTACATACCGTTCATACGAGGAGCAAAATTACAGTTATGAAGCAGCAGCGAAAATGTATTTATGGTGTGTGTGTGGGAGGGGGGATCACCACAGCATGAGGAACTGTATTAAAGGGTGGCAGTATTAGGAAGGTTGAGAACCACTGCTTGAAGGAGTCTGCTGCCTCCCTTGGGTGCAGCTGTGGCAACCACTGAGCGGGACTTCAAGGCATAGTGCATGCGGTGTGTACTTGAAAACCACCCCGACATTTAAAGCATAGTGCATGTGGTGTATACTTGAAAACCACCCCGACGTTTGAGATCCTGGGTCTGGAGTGCTGAGCCTGCTGGCCTCTGACAATCTGTGGAGCCACCAGGCCCCATGGGACCAGCCTCCCACATGGCTACGGAGGCAGAGCCTGGCTGCCTTCTCCAGCCCACACTAAAGCCAAATCCCATTGCAGGGAGGGCCTAGGTCAGGAGTCTGCTTCAGAGGATCCTGTGTTTCGACAGACACCTCATTATCCCAGCCAGCCTCTGTAATCATACAGGCCCACGCCCCATAGTCATCCCAGGCCAGGAAATCATTCCTCCCCCTCCCCCGCCTTCCGCCCAGGGCGCCCTGAACCTCAGTGTCTGCAGCCACGCTTTGGTGGCCCTCCTGCCTGCCTAACGGTTTTCTCTCCTGCTTCTCTTTGCTCTCGCGGGGACTCGGAAGTGTGGTTATCCAGCTGGGCTGAGTCTCCCAAGAAGGACGTGACAGGTACTGCCTTGCATGCATGTGTGTGAACATGTGTGTGTCCCAGCATGTGTGCCGAGGAGCTGGTGCCTACAGGCTTCCTTAGGCAAGCCTCCCTTCATCTGCATGTGGGGCTTTCCCACCCCCTGGGCCTCCTGCTTGCAGGGAGAACGCTTTACAGTCCTCCGATGGACCACGGAGCCTGGTAGAGTGGTGACCAAGTATCAGAGTGAATGAGTGTGTACTGGCCCAGTGCCTGTGGGTTTGAATCCCGGCTGGGCCATGTCCTGCCTGTGACGCCCTGGGTGGGTTGCACAGCCATCCCAAAGGCATGTAATGCCACCTCTGTGCATATCGGTGCTAGGATGAGGGTGGGCTGCTGTCATCTTTGGCTTTATCACATGGACCTTCCCAGGAGAGTAGCCAAAGACAAGCCATCTCTAAGACAGTCAGCCCCTGATAACCAAACCTACCTTCCAGAGATTTCTATGGAGAGCAAGAGATGTGGAGTGCAGGAGGGCCCTTCCTGTGAGTGTGATGGGTTGGACCACAGCCCCCATTTCCCAGTAGTCCAGACCTTGGAATTGCCCCAAGGCCTTTGCCCTGTGGGGTGCCCAGGGATTTAGCCTGTATCTGGTCCATCTGGGTGGAGAGTCAGTTTAGCTTTGTGGCAAAACTCACAAACAGCAGGACTATAGTGCTTGCAGTCGATAGGAAAGAGTGATGGCATTTCCAGGGGGGTCTTCATCAGCCTTCCCTTTGAAGAACTGAGGGGGTGGGGAGGTATGGTAGAAGGTTAGGGTAAGAAGGGGGTCTTGGGCCAGTTGCTGGGTCAAAACTCAAGCCCCACCCCCCAATCCTGCCTCCCAATGCTGTCAGCAGCAGAGCTGTTGATGAGCACCCTGGAAGAGAGGCCAGAAGAGAAGGCAGTGGGGGAGGACCCCCTTCCCTCCTGGTTGTCCTATGATGCTGGCCTGGGCTTGAGCCAATCACTGGGCTCCTGTCCCTTTTTCCCCTCTGATCACGCCAGTGAGCCAGAGCACAGTTGGCCCACAGCAATGCATTCTATTCACCAAACGTATAGCTGAGAGGCCAGCAGGCCCAGTGCAGCCTGGGAGGAACTGGCTGCGAGGGACCGTTGGGTCTTGGTGGGATGCCCAGGGGTGGGAGTGTTATGGAGAACCTGTGGCAGAACTCCCATAAGGCCTGGCTACTCAAGATGAGTTCAACTCTCTGGAACCAGTGGTAGCTCCCCTCGTCCCCACCAAGGAGTGGCGGGGCAGCCAACTGAGTCCAAGGCTACCATCTCCCAGCCTTAGTTTCCCCTTCTGGAATCTTGGGGGAATTCTCTCAAACAGGAAACTCAGAGGTGATGGGCCAATGCCAGAGATCCCAATGGATAGGGGTCCTGGTGCTGCATAGCCTGGCATCCAACCCAGAGTGGCCTGCGAGCCTCTGAGCTGGCTCTCTGCAGCTGGTAGGCCCATGGCTGCCTGGAGGTGGGTCTAGGAGAGGCATATTGCAGAGAAGTAGCTTTAACCCTCTCCACCCTCCTGGCGCTGTGGCTTTTTCATGAGCTAACTGCCTCTGGTAGTGAGGTCTTTAGTTCCTCCCGAGTCTCCCATAGCCTCTGCTCTCTAAACAGCTGTTTGTACTTTACACAGGGCTTCAGCCTCGGTAACTTCAGTGCATTCACAGACCAGCCCCATGAGGTACTGTTCTTGTTTACAGATGAGAAAGCTAAACTCAGGAAGGGTAGGTGTCTTCCCCAAGAGCAAGCAAGGGCAAGACAGGACTGCCCTCCAGAGCCTCTGACACTGATACTAAGTTTGTGTTCAGGAATGTCAGGTGATGGTTGTGTCTGGATCATGTCCTATGGCCCCGGTATCAGAGGTGACTAGTCTGAAGCACATGGTCTGTTGGAGAGCCTTTCCCACCCAAAAGCCCAGGAGAGAAGAGAGACACTATGCCTGGCCTGACCTCTTAGGGAGCTTCCTAAGAGGCAGAGATGCTTAGGTGGGATTGAGATGGGAAGGGGGGGGCTACAGGAAAGGCTTAGAAAGAGTGTACACGGGGACGCGTGGGTGCTCAGTACACATGCTGAATAACGAATGTTCCATGGAACGGTGGAAGAGTGTCAGAGGACCAGGGGAGCACCAATCATAAGAAAGCCTGGGCTTGAATTTGCCCCTTATTCTTTAAGTCATGAGGAGCCATTGAGGGTGTGGGAGCCAGGAAATGACTGGGCAAAGGCCCAGTTTAGAAGCATACGTTGACAACAAAACCCCCAAGTTTCTATTCAGATAGTAATCGGAGGAATCCAGGTGTTGAGGCTGGGGTGGGGTAGAGACCCTTAGGTAGGCAGAGCCAAGGACTCTAATAAAGCATAAGGATCCACCTCTGTGCAAAGTCCGGTTCTAATGCAGGAGAGGCAGTGCTCTCTAGAAGGGCCCACCCCTCTGAGCAGAGCCAAAACCTCATCTGAGCACAAGGGGCTCCCTCCCCCTCCATCAGGCAGACGCCTCCAGATCCCAATTTTCCGGGCCTTGCCTGCCTTGGAGGGGATCCAGAGCTGCTGCTACAGATGACATCACCGCCCACCACCAAGCCTTTTCTCATCTGGATACCTGCTCTTAGTGCCCGCGAGCGCAGCTGTGCTCCAACACCCCAAGAGGTAGATGCCAGAGGGGAAAGCTGGCAGTGTGTTTGCACTGGGGGCAAAAAGGAGAGAGAGGAGGAGGAGAATGAATCCCACAGCTAGTGCAGCTGTCTCCCAAGAAGAGTGACAGCTTGCCTGCCCATGCTATGCGACCCTGGGAAAGTTCTCTACCTTCTCTCCTGATAGAGGCTCCAGCCAGTTTTCCAAGCAGACTGCGGACGAGGGCTGTGGGTGTGTAGATTTTCCTCTGCTTTGAAATCTTGCCTCAAATTTTTCTTGGCTTGGATCAAAATGAGCTGATATCTGTCCCCTCGCTAGCACCTCATCTTTGTCCTCATATCCCTGTCCACCGTCTGGCTGCGATCCCAGAGCTGCTTGTTCCTCATTGCCTCAGCTTCTCGCCCCTTTCCTCTCTTCCTGTTCAGTCATTTATTGTCCCCCTGTTTGGGAGCTAAGGCCCTTCCTGCTTTACCCAGACGGACACACAGTCACACACAGCATCTGTCTGGAAGTACATCTGTTACGCACCCAGTGCCTACCACTAATGGGTGCCCAGGCTAGTCAACAGAGGTGACAGTATTGGTCTGTAAGAATCCCAAACCCCAGTGTTCACCTTTCACCACCTGTGTGCCAGGTGTCTGGGGATGCAGGTGGGGCAGGGTCCTTCCTAGAGACTAAGCGTCAGTGGCACCTGTAGGCCATGTGTGCTTCAGGAGTTAAGAATGTGCTTGGTGGCATAGACTTGGGTACTGTCCCAGCTGAGGAGACTGCTTCCCCTCGTGACATTCAGGCTTCACACGTTCAGCTCGAGGCTTCGTGGAGCCTGCTGTGGAAGGTTACCGAGAGAACTGTGCATGATGCTGCAGGTGGGTGCTGAGTGTGGACTGACCCCAAGAAGCCCCACAAGGACTTGCATGTGACTGGCGCTGTCTGGACTTCGAAGCTCTCAACCTGCTGCAGAACTCCTGCCGCTGGCCCCCACGCCCCCATTTGGATCTTGTATTTTCACTCATTTTTTCACGTTTAAGGTCCCCTCAGTGTCTGGCTGCTTTTTAGTTTGGGCTACAGTTGCAATGACAGGCACTTATAGCCCCCAGGGCACAGTGGAAGGAGTCTCAGGGAGTGGTGTCTGTCAGTCCAGTGCATGGTCTGTTGCTAGCTGGTGCAGAAGCTGCCAACTTGTGAGTACAGAGGCTGGGCTGCCCTCCTGCCCAGGTGTTGGTTGTGTTTCTGCCTGAAATACAATTCTGGCTTTGCAGGGGCTGCCTGGGGCTTGCCTGTGTGCTCTCATGGGGTACACCTCAGCTTCTGAGTCTCCATGGGCCCAGGCTCATGGGTTTCTTTCTCCTCCCAGGAGAGCCTCTTTTTGACTCTTCTAGAATTCTCTGGCCACAGACCTTGACAGACCCTTCCATACAAAGGACACAGAGGCCTAAACAGTGTGTCTCACATTGGCTGCATGTCTGAACTGTGGGACAGAATGGGCTATGCAGAGTGACTCATGCCAAGGCCCCGCCCATTAAAGCTGGCTCTCTGAAGCCTGGGCATGAGAGTTTGGGGATTTAAAAGCTCCAGTGACACTTCTAAGCAGAGGGTCATTGTGTCAGAAAGACAGTGTGTGGAAACATCAATTTCTTGATTAGTAGAGAGGTGGACTTGAACCTTTGAAAAGACTGAGTGTTTCGGGTTCTCTGTGTGAGCCTCTTGAGCTCCTCTCTGAGCCTCTCATTAGTTTATGAGTTAAATGGGAAGAGAAAAGGGCTGTCTCAAGGTGGACTGAAGCCATACCTGCCTGGCATGTGAGTCAGACTCAGTCATGCAGAGGGAGAGGTGTGTCCGAGGGTGAGGCACCATGAGAGACTGAAAACACTGGGCCATTTCTGTGGCCACCCTAGTGGTGTTAAGCCCCAGCCTCCCAGAAGGGTGGTAGAGGTTTGCATTTGTTTTGTTTGGTTCTGAGGCAGGTTTTCTTGACTGGCAATGCAGGCTGACCTTGAACTCCCGATTCTCCTGCCTCGGCCACTAGTGTGGGAATCACAGGCTGACTGACAAGTAGATGGTTGTAAGAAATGTACTAGGAATTCCCTCGGGGGGTGGAGCGTCTGGGAAGGCTTCCTGAAAGAGGTGATTATTCATTTTCTGGCTTGTGGATTCATATAATCCACTAGCAGGGCATACTGTCTTTGGGAGTGTCCCCAGTAACAGTTGAAGAGCAGAAAAGATTTGACAGGACATGCAGCCATATTCTCTTTAAGCTGAGATGGGCACCCAGCCTGTCCGTTTGCCAGCCTGGTGCTTGTTTAATGAATGTCACACAGATACAGTGGCCAAACAGGACAAAGAACTGCCTTGCTCCGGGAAGCAGGGCTCGCTGGCCCTCTCTGATACACCCGGGTGAGGCTTTTAAAACTGCCCAGTACTTAAAGACAAGGGGAACCAGGCAGCCTCTGCTGGTTGAGATGGCAGAAAGACCCAGGAAGGCTCCTCTGGAAAGCCTAGGGCTGCTGTCTGCCTGGCCCTTGGAGAGCCAGGAGGACAGGAATGGAGCCGAACTTGAGGAAAAGTTGGCGTGGGGAGGGGCGTTAGGCTCGCCAGCACTGGCGCTGGGACCTTCTTCTTGGGTTTCAAGTAAACAGTCTGGGCCCTCCTCCCATCCCCTGCCTCCACCCCCAGCTCCTCATTCGACGGGTCTCATGTGTTTCTATTTAAGGGTTGCGAGTAAGCCCTAGTGATTGGCGGCCTCAAAGCCTCTTGACTCTCTGCTGGACCTAGGCTGTGGAGAAGTTCTCTCCCTCTCCCTCCTGAGGGGAGTCCTGCTGCCTTTTCTCTCTGAGTTTACAGACTTGGGGTAGAGGCAGGAAGCCTCCTGGACCTCCTGCTCCTCTCTCTTCCTTCTCTCCCCTGTGCTCTGGGCTCAGCCTTCATGGGCCTCCCACTGTGCTCCTGTGGCCCTCCTCTCACACCGCAGCCAGCCCGAGAGTCTGGAGAGATGGGAGGCCCCAGGCCTCTCTGCAGACTCCCCCATGCCGGCCTGTGACTAACTCTTCACACGCAGCAGCAGGCTTTTCCCTCAATTTCCTTGGCTTCCGTCTCTGCCTGTCTCTGCCTCTCTCCACCCCCTTCTCCTCCCCCGTCCCCTGGCTCCCCATGTCCCCCGGTCCCCGCGGTGCAGCGGGCCGGTGTGGGGCCTTGCTATATGGCCTGTCCTTGGGGCCCAGCAAGCTGCGAGCCCTGGCTACGGGCTGCTCCGCGGTGCAGAGCTGGCGACCGAGCAGCCTCCCTCGAGGGCAATGGACAGAGGGCGCCCCGGCCGCGGGGCTACAGCCGGCCGCTGGCTCACCGCGTGCTTTCTGCCCTCGCCAGGTGCCGACACCAACGCCGAGCCCATGATCCTGGAACAGTACGTGGTGGTGTCCAACTATAAGAAACAAGAGAACTCGGAGCTGAGCCTCCAGGCCGGGGAGGTAGTAGATGTCATCGAGAAGAATGAAAGCGGTGAGTGCCTTTGGCTGTCCACTCCTGGGTCCAGCCTGGCTCCTGGGCCGGCTGGGTTTTTGTTCCTCTCCTCCTCCCCCACCTCTGCAGCTATACGTTATTTCCATCTGGCAGGGAGAGGGCCGAGGAGTCTGAAGTTCCCCTGTTGGTTTGGGCTGCAGGCCAGCAGTTTGCCTGGTGGTGGAAGAATGTCTCCCTGGCTTGAGGCTAATTAGCCGGCAAGGCCAAAGTGGCATGGAAGCATCCGTTCCTTATTCAGGGACTGACTCGTGCCATCTGAGGCTCAGAGGAGATGGCAGCTTTAGCTCAGGGGTGCCCAATGACAGCGTTCCCAGTTGTTGAGATGTCTGTCTGCCAGTTAGAATTCAGGCAGGAGTGGGAGGACCCAGCCAGCTGGTGGAGAAGGCAGGCATGACATCACAATGGGTTCCAGAGTCCCCAGACCCCTAGCAAGATGTCTGAGGAAGGGCCAGGCCCTGTGGGAGGTTGGCTAGTGTCTGGGCAGTGAGTGGGTGGTGAGCTCGACTCCCTCCCGCTGAGCTGGAAGCCACCAGGACTTGGGAAGAGGGCCCAGGCACTGGATGAAGCCAGGTCCTGGAGGGGTCCTGCAGCAGGCCACTGTGTCATTAGGAGCTGACAGAGACCATGCCCATGGCTTGCCAGGATCTGCTGGCTCCAGGGTTTTTGCAAAGTGGACCAGAATCCCTTGATGCCCTTGGCAAGAAAAGGCACACTCAGCAGATGGAGAAAAATCTGTGAGTCCATGCTGCAGGCTCACGTGGCTATCTGAGAGCCAGAGGGCTCTTGAAACCACAGCATCATCCTCTGCTGCTTCCCCTCAGCTTGCCGGGTGGCACTGAATGGGTTCAGGGTTGTATTTTGGTTTCAGTTTCAGTTTGCTGGGGGCAGGCCCTATATATAGGTATACCCAGGTATGGCATTTGTGGGCCCTTCAAGAGGGAGGCCTGTCTTTGTTCCCTTCTAATATTTTGAAAAGAACACAATCCAAAGGGTCACTGTGTCCATTCTGTAGATAGAATGACTGAGGCACAGAGAGCTGGAGCAGAAACAAGTCTCCTGAGGTCAGAAACAGTACCCGGGACCTCTGAATGATAATACCTCTGGGTGACTGCAGAGACCCTAAAGAAATGTCAGTGGACATTCTTGGGGAGCAGAGGGCTGGACTCCTCATCCTGAGGCTGGTGTTGTTATAGCCCATGTCTCTCCCTGAGAAGTCAGGCTCTGCCCTTGTGCCTAGGTGGTTGGCAGTGACAATGCACATGTGACAGAACATGATCTGGTGTCAGATCTTGATTCCAGGTGAACACCACACTGGTTCCCTTCCTATAAAGTAACTTTATGGCCTGGTACTATCAGCCCCGTCTCCCAGATCTCTATGGAAGCTGACATTGCCTTGGGGGGTTGGCTGTGTCCCAGTCTCTGAGGCCTCCTGAGGGATCCTCACAACAGAAGGAAAGGCAACAGGGGAGGGAAGGTTTGTTCACTTGGGAGGTTGCTCCTAGGAAAAGCCAGAGCTTACTCTTGAATGCAAGGTCAGTTCTTTGGGGACTCTCCTGCTGCCACATGTGCCCTGTCACACCACCACTGCTGTGGGACACTGAGTAGCAGGAGGCGGTGAACCTCCGAGTCTTTGGGGTCAGTCAGCCATTGGCCAGGATGACAGAACAGTCCTGCTATGTGATTCCAAGAGTCCAGGCTGAGTGTGGTGGCACATGCCTTTAATCCTAGCATTCAGGAGGCAGAGGCAGACAGTGTCTGTGACTCTGAGACTAGCCAGGTCTATATAGTGAGTTTGAGGCCATCTGAGGCTAAATAGTGCGGCCCTGTCTCAAACAACAACAAAAGTCCCCAGGGGTTCATTTGCCTTTCCCCTTCCTGTTCCATATCTATAACCAACGGACTCTTGCCTGGGGTGAAGGAAGAACTCGGGGACGGTGGTGTGAGTCTGTGTTAGAAATAGCGTGGAGATACCTGCCTCCCTGCTTGCCCCTGTCATCTGAGCAGCCCAGTGTGGCACAGAGACCGTGTCAGGAAGCTGCTGTGGTTAGATTCTAGCTACTACGAACAGGTGGGTAACTTCAGAACCCTTCCATTTCTCTGGGCCTTACCTATTCCTTCTGTAGCAGGAGGATAACCTCGTGACTGCTTGGAAGTAGAGACCAGAACAAGCTGTCCCCTGAGCCCTACCTGTGTCTGAACTGCTGGGGGACTTGGCAGGGCCCTAGGTGTCAGATGGAGATAGCCAGGTTATCTGTGGCTTTTCCACTGTTCTGGTGGTTTGTGGAGATAGCTATGTGTGTTTGAACAAGGATCTGTCTGTTGTCTGTCATCTGTCCATCGAAACCAGGATGGCTTGGATGTTCATCCAGGTTAACAAGAGAGACAGGGTAGAGGAGAGAAAGTTAGATGACCAGGCTTCAGATCCTGGGAAGTGATTCTCTGTCAGGGAAGCTGGAGGCTGGATTGTGGGGGTTGTAGGTGAGGCGTGTGCATCCTATGAGCTGGTTTTGGAAGGAGTGGTGGGTGAGGCTTCTGAGCTCTGGAACAAAGACCCAGTTGTGATGCCTTTGACCTGGGACATGGTGAGCGTGTTACAACATTTCCACTGGCATTGTTGGGCAGCAGCCCCGGTGACTACCATCCCCCAATCCTCCCATTGGGCGCAGGCCTCTGCCTGTGTGCTCTTTCACTTAGCTGAGAGTTGCTCAAATGGAGGGTCCATGGAGATTCACAGCAACCTCTGGCCTGTTTGTCAGAGGTCCCCTGTGACCTGAACTACAGTCACAAGGTAATGTGGGATGTGGACATGCCAGCACTGTATGTGGCTATCATTCATCTAAAGCAGTCTGTCTGGAAGGTGATTCCAAGCACATAGACAGGCACCAGATTGAATAGGACAGTTATATTAGTATCATGGAATAATCCCCTGTGGTAGGAGGCACTTATCCATTCTATAACTAAAGTAACAGGCAAAGAATTTACGTGATTCTTAGAATCCAAAAGCTGAGGTCTCTCCCTCCAAAAAGACCCTGGGGGGGGGGGGTGTGTGAAAATTGACTGATCTTGAGTACTGAGTGGGTATCTCGTGTCTCAGATACGTTAATTAGAGACATGGACTGGTCAAGATGCTCAACCACAGGTTGCCATGGAACACCCTTGGCAAAAAGATGTTGCTCGGATCCTGCTGGCATGCTGTTCACGGGTAGTGGGGTAGTGGTGATTAAATTGATCCTTTGAACTTGGAGGCAGGCATCGGTTGAGAAGATCTTAAGAAGGTGATGTGTCCCCATGCTAAGGATAACTCTCCCCGAGGATCACATATATGGGCAGAAGTCACAAGCACCTTTATGATCAAACAGAGCCCATGTAGGAAGACTATTCTCCTCTGCCCATAGATCACAGAGAGTGGCTTTCGTAGCTTTGCCATCCAGCGGGCTGTGCCAGGGCCTGCATTGTCCACTGTTCCTCTGTGGAAACACCTTGACCTCTTCAGCCTTTGGTACCCGACATGTCTCCTTGTGGGACATTCTTGTATCTCGGAGACCGTATCAGCTGCATCTTCTGGCAGGCGTAGCAGGTCTGACGTCTGTAGACCGGTGATGTCAGGGTCCTGGTTGCTTAGTTTCCATGTTGAGCAGAGCTGCCTCCAGCTTTCCAGGATTGTTTCCTTCCAAGACTGCAGCCAGGGCAGGGAGTGTGGAGATGAGTCAACAGAATTTCTCCTGCTTCAGCTTTCATCCGAGTCTTCGCTTACTTCCTGGCCTTGGCGTGATACACGGAAGGTTCTCACCCTTCCTTGGAAACAAGGGATTTTGAGCTCTTGTCAGTCCATTCGGATTCCCAGTGAGAAAACTGTGCCTTGGGAATCTTTATCCTTCCCAAGCAGTGCTTCAGTACATTTGGTCTGTGACTAAAGGCTGGAAATTCCTCTCACTTGCTCAAGAGACTGTGGAAAGACTACGGGAGACTCTCACAGAGCCAAGAGTGAGATGTGAGTCCCAGCCTGGGGAGGCTGAGGCTGGGACTGAGAGGAAAGGTCAGCACAGGCCTTGCTCTTGTCCTTTCTTGGCTCCCTCTCTGCCTCCTGCCTCTTGCTTGAGAAAGAGAAGGAGAGAGGGGGAAGGGAGGGAGGGAGAAAACGTGTGTGTGTGTGTGTGCATGTGTATGTGAATGTGTATGTATTGTAGGTATATGTGCGTCCACCTTATATGCGTGCGTGTGCACACCTGTATGTACATCTACTGTATATGTGCATACGTGTCAGTGTGAGCGTGTGTGTTCCACTCCCTCTCTCTTTGGTACCACATTGACTCAGAGGACAGCTGTGTACTTCTCACTGCACACCAGCTAATCCTTGTTCACCCAAGATGGCAGCGTGTTCACACTGGGTGATTCATGCGCCCCAACCTCCGTGAGTTTTGCATTGAGATAGCTATGAACCATTCGCTATAGCCTCTGGTTCTGAGTTCATATTTTAAAGTTTGAGCTGGAAACTTGCACACTTGTGGCTCTGGTTCATGGGCAGGCTGAGGCAGGAGAATCGTTTGAGTCTACAAGTTGGAGGCTCATCTGAGAAACATAAGGAGATATCCTTTCTTTCACACACACACACACACACACACATGAATATATTCTTATCAATCTACTAACTTTCTAGTGAGAAAATAAGATATATATATGAATACACACACACACATACACATACACGCACATGTATCTGATTGACTTTTTGTCAGCCAATGGATTAACAGGCCTTAGATGAGATATATAGCCCTAATTCAATCAGCAGAATCCAGAAGAGTTGGCACAGGGGTGTGATTATAACTACTTAGCTAACTTCTTCAGCAGCGACTGTAGGGGGGACATGTTTGTTGTTAATCTGTGGAGGGGAGAGGGAAAGGGAGAGGGGGAGGGAGAGGGGGAGAGGGAGGGGGGGGAGGGGGAGACGGAGAGGGAGAGGGGGGAGAGGGAGAGGGGGG